TGATGTAGTGCCGTCGGGAATCAATAAAAAAAAAGTTAATTAAACGCGATAGAATCCGTAAAAGTAGTTTTATTCAATGTGTAGTGTTAATATAAGAAAATAAATTTAAATATAAGAAATAAAAAAGTAAATATAAGAAATCAAAAAGTATTGTAGGTACTTCAATTAAGTACATTTATCAATTTGTAAATGTCGATGTCTTATATGATGCTATGCATATTAACAATCCGCTTTTGGAGACTATTTGTGGTCACATTTGCGTAGAGTGCCGCGCAACGTACACCACTTAACATTTTCCAGAGGTCAGTGATCTAAGGAGCAGGCAGTCCAGTCGGTACGGGCATTACATTAATTTAAACTAATTATCATTTAATATTCTTAACCACAATCATATCAAAAATATTTAATAGTTTACATTTACTTTGGAAATGAAATCCGTGAAACAATATCGTGAAAATTAAAAAAAAAGAATATAGATGTAGAGTCATTAGCATTAGAACTATAAGATATATATATATATATATATATATATATATATATATATATGTGTATATATATATATATATATATATATATATATATATATATATATATTTAGTGTTACAATCGAACTCTCCTTTTCTTCTTTTTTTTATAGATAAGGGTCACAAACGAGCACACATTCTACCTCAGTAAATTAATGTTGTGATCCATAGACATCTACATCTATTTTTATACGTGGTAGAGCCATGCTGCATTAATTAATAGTGTAGTTGTAGCACGTGTTTCGGCTCGTCCGAGGAAGGACCATGCTCTCACAGAATATCAGCGTAAAATAGCAGCTTAACGCTGCTGTGTTTTGTATAGTGAGTGCAGAGAAACGGAGACCCTTTCTTTTGAAATTATAGGTATCCAACTCATAATATCTATAAAGAAATTAACATTCTTACTGTGCGACAACTTTTCTTAAAGCAACTTATACTCGAAAAGAGGCTTTCCATCTTAGTCCTCACGGGTGACAACGCATCTGCATTTTGATTCTTTATTGAGGATAGATGTAGATGTCTATGGGTCACAGCAACCACTTACCATCAGGTGGACTGTGTGCTCGTTTGTCGCCCTATCCTATTAAAAAAAAATATTTGCCATAGTTGCCATGCTTGGCACGCAATTTTTTATTTTCCAATAGTTTTAGTAAGACACTAATTACATCCATGGGACGATACGGGGTAGTGGTTATTCTTACACGGCCATTACTCGGAATATACATTTTTTTATAAGTTTTATTATAACTAGTTTTATTATAACTCACAGTGGTAGAGCCACGCAGCAGTTTTTGCTGTTGCACATATGGGCCGGCTCGAGCCAGGTTGGTACCACGACCTCACAGAATACCGGCGTGAAGTAGAGGCTCTGCTTCTGCGTTTCGTCTGGTGAGTGCAGGTGGCCAGATGCCTAATTCCCCCCCCCCCCCCCCCACATCAACATGGTAGCGGAATTACACGAAAGACTACCCCAGGAGAGTACCAGTACCCGTGGAGAATCGCTGAGCATCCACGACCATGTTATTCCAATCTTGAGCGTGGGTGCTCAGGCTGCCCCGCGTATTCTGGGGGGGGGGGGGGGGGGGTAAATTCCGCTCAAAAACATAACTGCTCGGGGCAAACTGAGCAACAATACCAAGGCGACCCCTGCCACGCTATCCGTGAATTTCTGCAACATCAGGGGACTTCACTCTAACCTAAACGCCGTCCACTACCATCTCGAGACGGCGAAGCCGGCCTTACTCTTTCTGACCGAGACGCAGGTTTCCTCTCCGGCTGATATTTTGTATCTCTCCTACCCGGGGTACAAATTTGAGCACTCCTTTGTGCCTCGGGCTGGAGTTTGCGTGTATGTCAGAGAGGACATCTGTTCTCGACGCCTCTGCAGTCTTGAAGGTTCGGACCTGTCCATCCTTTGGATACGCGTAGACAGCGACGACCATCCGCGCGTCTACGGGTGTCTCTATAGGTCCCATAGCGGTAATGCCGAAACAGACCGACTCATCGACCACGTCCAAATGGCTACAGATTCCTTGCTACAATAGGTCCCATCCACAGAGATCGTGATCCTTGGCGATTTTAACGCCCACCATGCTGAATGGCTCGGTGCACGTTTAACCGATCATGCGGAGAGATCTGTTTATGACTTTGCCTTGGCATATGGTCTGACACAACTGGTTACTTCGCCTACGCGGATTCCAGATGTGGAGGATCATACACCTTCCCTGTTGGACCTCCTGCTGACCTCTCATCTGGGCGGATATCAGGTTTCCGTCGACGTCTCGGCTCTTCGGACCATTGTCTGATCCGGAGTGTGGTGCCACTCACGCTCCCTTCGCGGTTGCATTTTGCAGGTTGCCGCCGTGTTTGGCATTACAGGTCGGCAGATTGGGACGGAATGCAGTCTTTCTTTGCATCCTACCCATGGGGGCGGGTTTGCTTCTCGCCGGATGATCCCAGCGCTGTTGCTGACTCTGTCACTGAAGTGGTGCTACAGGGAATGGAACTATTTATTCCATCATCTGTGGTACCCATCGGAGGCAGATCTCATCCTTGGTTTGGTCGCTCCTGTAAGACTGCATTACGTAGTAAGCAGGAGTGTTAACAAGCCTGGGCTGCGGCTTCGGCGACTCGGGATGTAAACACCAGCACACTTAAAAAGAAGTATAACTTCGCCTCCAGGTTCTTCAAAAGAGTTATTGCCAAGGCAAAATCAGAGCACATAGGCAGAATTGGCGAGAAACTTGTTCGCCTTCCTTCGGGAACCCGTGCATTCTGGTCTCTCGCCAATGCTGTCCAAGGGAATTTCTGTAAGCCATCACTACCATCTTTGCACAGGGAGGACGACTCACTGGCCCACGACGCAAAAGACAAAGCTGACCTTTTAGGCTCCCTTTTTGCATCCAACTCGACTCTTGATGACGGGGGGAAAACACCGCCGACCATCACGCGGTGTGAGTGCCCCATGCCGGATGTGCTGTTCTCACAGCGCTCGGTTCGCAAAGCACTTCTCTCCCTGGACATCCAGAAGTCGAGTGGGCCTGACAGAATCCCCCCAATTGTGCTGAGGACGTGTGCTCCGGAGTTGGCACCGGTCCTAACGCGTCTTTTCCGGTACTCCTACTCCCAAGGCGTAGTCCCGAATTCATGGAAGACAGCTTTTGTCCACCCGATCCCTAAAAAAGGCGACCGCTCAGACCCGTCCAACTATAGGCCTATCGCGATCACCTCCTTGTTCTCCAAAATAATGGAATCCATTATTAACTGCCAGCTCATCCGGTACCTTGAGGATCACCAGCTGATTAGTGACCGCCAATACGGTTTTCGTCGGGGTCGATCAGCTGGTGATCTTCTGGTCTACCTGACCCATAGTTGGGCGGAGGCAGTAGAGTCCAAGGTGGAGGCGTTGGCCGTTAGTTTGGACATTACGAAGGTCTTCGATTGGGTTTGGCACAAAGCGCTTCTTTCGAAGCTCCCTTCCTAAGGGCTTCCCGAGAAATTGTGCAATTGGATCACCAGCTTCCTTGCAGATCGGAGCATCAAGGTCGTTGTAGACGGTGCATGTTCTGACTACAAGACTATTAACGCTGGTGTTCCACAAGGCTGTGTGCTATCACCAACGCTGTTTCTTCTGCATATCAATGATATGTTGCTAACTGGTAACATTCATCGCTATGCGGATGACAGCACTGGTGATGCTCTATACACCGGCCGTGCCAATATTTCTCGGGAAAACGTCGCCGAGTACCGGAACAAACTTGTGTCTGAAGTCGAGTCTTTCCTGAACAAAGTCTCGGATTGGGGGCGACTAAATCTAGTCCAGTTTAATCCTCAGAAGACACAAATTTGCGCGTTTACCGCTAAGAAGAACCCCTTTGTCGTATCTCCTCAGTTTCAAGGTACTCCCCTTCTTGCCTCAGCCAGTATCGGTATCCTCGGAGTCGACATATCGAGTGAGGTGCAGTTTCGTGGTCACTTGGAAGAGAAGGCCAAATTGGCCTCTAAAAAGCTTGGCGTGCTCAGCAGAGCGGGACAGTATTTCATGCCGGCACACCGCCTGCAACTTTACAAGACGCAGGTTCGGCCTCACATGGAATACTGTTCCCATCTCTGGTCAGGGGCATCCTCGTTCCGTTCATCCTCACCATCAGGTGAGCCGCATGGTCGTTTGCCCCCTCACCTATAATAATAATTAAAAAAAAAACTAGCGATCCATCCTGGTTTGGCACGCGTGATCTTGATCTCGAAAACAGCGCCACCTACCGGGTCCAATTGTGAATCTAAGCCATTTATGAATCAACTTAATCACACACAGTTTCATCAAAGTCGGTCCAAACAGAGGAATTATATATATAAAGATAATATTATCACAGTAATTTTGTCAATATATTTCGCTTACGGACTTACGGTACTGACGGTGAGAAAAACATATTTCCGACGTTTTATTTAATTAACGCGGCTTGCGAGTTCATTAACCGGTAGATTTCGTTAAGAATTAATTATATCTGATAATGTTGACATTGTCCTAGTGGCCGGTTTGATAACGGCTGTACCAATTATACAAATATGCTATAACTGAAGAAAGGTGAGTGTGGTTAACGTAGTATTAAACTCACTGACTTTTTAACCGACATCAAAAAGGAGGAGATTCTCAATTCGAGTGCATGATTTTTTTCATATGTATGTTACACGATATCTTCGTACCAACCAATTTTGATAATTCTTGTCTTTATTACATACGTGGAGCGTGGAAAAACTCAACGGTCGGCCTGTAAGGTTATGGCGTCCGTATTTTTTGGGATGCACATGGAATAATTTTCATCGACTATCTTGGAAAGGAAAAACCATCAACAGCGACTATTATATAGTTTATTGGAGTATTTGAAGGACGAAATTACGTAAAAACAGCCCCATTTGAAGAAGAAGAAAGTGTTGTTCCATCAAAACAATGCGCCGTGTCACAAATCGATGAAAACGATGGCAAAATTGCATGAATTTAGCTTCGAATTGCTTCCGCATCCACCGTATTCTCCAGATTTGGCGCCCAGCGACTTTTTCCTGTTCTCAGATCTCAAGAGAATGCTCGCTGGAAAGAAATTTAATGCGGATGAGGAAGTAATCGCCGAAACAGAGGCCTATTTTGAGGCTAAACACAAATCGTACTACAAAAATGGTATTGAAAAGTTGAAAGATCGTTATAATCGGTGTATCGCCCTCGATGGCAACTATGTTGAATTATAAAATCGAATTTTGCCAAACAAATGTGTTTCAATGTATTCCAATATAAATTTGAAGGAAAAATTTCACGCCTAAGGATAGCAAATAAGTAACTTATTTTTTGGCAATTTGCAGTCAATTTTTACTTTTTATTAAAGGTTATAATTATTATATTTACACGAATACTTGACATTGAAATTGAATAAAACTATGGTCATGGTCAAATCTGATGTTCTAGATCAACCCATCCATCCAATACAGCCTATAAAAGTCCAATGCTGAACATAGGCTTCTCCCATAGAGTGATTCATAGGGAAAATTTTGCAATAGTTGCCATGCTTGGGAGACGGCTTGGCAAACGCAGTTTTTTATTATTTTAAGTTGTTTTCAGAAAAATGCTGCTGCCTACCTTATGTTTCAGTTTCCCTCTGTCGCCTCTTACGACACCCACGGGACAATAAGGGGTAGTGGATGTTCTTTCACCGCCACTACACGGTTAAGGCTTTAACTAGCCTGAATGACCTTGACGAAACGGCGATCGCAGAGATTTTAGCCGACGTCAACACCGTCTAGCAACTACGTTCTGTATTACTTATAAAAGTGCAAAGATTAATAGACTGCAGAGATGACAATTATATAAGTGACATACTGCCTGTTATGCTTGCGCATCACTGAGAATTATGTCGCGGTTACGCATCTTCAATTATATTGTGATGTAGCTTTGTCCGGTAGGCGTCACGATTTATCAAGTGTTCAAGTTTCAAGTACGTAAGAGTTTTGTATTATATATGTTAAATCGTATTTATTTGTATCGTATTAGTAGATCTGGGTCAAAGCATTCGCTGTAAATTTTCCCGGGTTTGATCCCCGACAGCTCGAATGAAATTTGTAATTGCAATTTTCGTCAACACGCATTGGGGAAGCACGGCGGGCATTCCTTTGCCCTAAAACCCTCTCAGAAATAAAAAAAGAGCCCTGTGTCCAGTAGAGGGCCTTGTATAGCCTATTACTTTACTTTGTAGCAATATTTATATTCGTTTCAGATATAGAAGGGTACCTAATGCTGACAAAAATATCATGTGGAGGCGACGAAAACGTAAAACATCTTTGTACCTAGATAAAACGTTCGAAAGATTGTCAGTCATGTCATACGCCACATTTTCTTAGAGCGTAGAACATTACAGATAGGGCAAAATAAAAAATAATCCAAAATATTATGGGAACTATTTATTAATAATATATACATTTATGGGTATTTATAATAAAAATAATGAACAAGCTGCAAGGTTCAACTAATAATGTTTTTTGTAAACACAATTGTAACATTCCTGTTTTAATTTTTACCAAAGGTTTATTGATGAAACGTAGTCAAGATCACTTCATATAAAATATATTTAATTAAAATTGACACATGACCTATTTGGCCTTCTACTTACAACTCGGCGGAAATTTGAAAAGAAGATTTTGCCTTTTCACACAAGTATTGTTTACAACTGGTGTGGTTTCGAAAAGCGTGATTAAGTGTCAGCGGTATATAATCAATTAAATACTGAACTTTTTTGAAATTTATTTTTTTGTTTATTTTTGTTATATCTTCTTAAAAACTGACGCCATCTCACTATTTTATTATTTGTTTTTTTTTTTTTTGTAACGCATAAGGATAAGTTAGACTAAGTTAGATTAACTTGGATAAGTTTATAATTTTTTTTAAATTTATCACAAAATTTCCACAATAAGTTATTACCTTTTCTACAGTGATTCTCTCCTCTTAGTTTCGGCGTGACTGTAGGATGTTATAGTGAGTCACCGTCAGTTACTAAGCGGCCATAAGAGGAGACAATCTCTTAGTTTCGGCGTGACTGTAGGATGTTATACTGAGTCACCGTCAGTTATTAAGCGGCCATAAATCATTATATGTATGTATAGACATACATATATACATTTTTTGATTTTAATATTTATGTTTTTTTGAATTTTGATTGGTTTTTTTAAACCTGGTAAAATTATTTTTTTCTTTAACTTTTTATAGAAAAACATGACCTTATCATAATATAAAAGTCAATCATTTAGCCATGTGATAAAACTTTTAAGTGTGCCAGTCAAACATAAATGATGATATTCGGGTCATTATACTGGAAATAGTCTTTTAAATATTTTGTAGTACAATTGATAATCTTCAGTATGATTGACCGTGTATATGACTTTTATAAGTCTATGTTATTTTTGACGAAAATTATTATTGCAGATAAAAGCCCTTTCACATTTATTTTAGTCGCGAATTAAATTAATCAAAATGAAAATAATAACTTTGGCTCTTTATAACTGATCTTTAAATGTAAAACACTGACTTGAAATTATATAATTATTAGCATTTTTTTAATTCATTGAACTTTTTTAAGATTTTGTTGAAACTTTACTGGTAAAAAAAAAAACAAATATATATACTCGTATTATAGTTCTTGATGAAAATAATGTATGCGCGTTACATCGCATCCCATCAAGAATTTCTAATGTAATTCTTGGTGTAAAGCTAAGACGTGATAATAACTGTAAACAATAGAATGACAAAATAATGAAAACATTTACATTTACATACACAACATTTACAAAAATACTTGCTTTATAACCTAATAAATATTATTTGACAGTAATAAAATAAAACAAGGTAGTCTTCGGCATGAAAGTAAAAATAAATATTTTAGATTATTTTTGCAATATCTAACAGCCTGATCAACGCGCGATTCTGATCCATCTAAAGATGCTAAATTTCAGCAAGCACTGTCAAATTCAATAGGAGTGACAGAAAAACAGTTCTTGATATAGAAAGGTAAATAAATTATTAAACTTATAAAGTAAAATCACTTTATTACAAATCAAAATAGCCCAATAGCTTTATTAACATGAGACATAATTGTACGAGTGCTTACAATACTTAACATTATTTTACTGAAATCTCAGAAAGTTTTTTTTTAATAGAATAAGGGTGACAAACGAGCACACAGTCCACCTGATGGTACACTTACCATTTAGATGTGTATGGGCCGTAGCAACCACTTTGCTATGGCCCATACACATCTACATCTATTCTCGATTACGTATCAAAATATAGATGCGTTGTCACCCGTGAGGACTAAGATGTAATGCCTCGTTTCCAGTAAAAAGGTTCTCCGGTTCTCTACACTCACCATACGAAACACAACAGGGTTAAACTGCTATTTTACATGTTATTCCGTGAGAGCGTGGCCCTTCCCCGGTCAAGCCGACCCATTCGTGCTACAACTATACCTACTACTAATATAGCTGCAGCATGGCTCTACCACGTAAGAAAAAATTGACGTTGAAAATTTAATTATTTTTAAAAGCAACTTTGCAATTATTTTCTATTGAGTTAATTTTTGTGGAATCGTGTTTTGCAAACCGCCACCTGAAATACGTACAATTTTTTTTGATAATGACGTGAAATTACAAAACGATCCCCATGCATATCAATGTGGCTCTATTCAGCCTCTTAATATGAACATACGTGGGGATTCAGAGATTTTAAAATTTTTCATGTGTAGGTAATGGAAGATATAATATTATATTATTACTGTCCCGTGTGAGGCAACATTTATACTTATATACATATTCTCATCATATTTTTATGGTTGGTTAGAAAAATTATATCTAAATGCAAACTTTCACAGGGTAAATTCTTTTTACTATTTTTATCCAGCAAGTAGTAAAGTAACTACAATCCCATCGATAAGTGGTTATGTAGTCTAAGATGGTGAATTGCACTGACTTAACAAAAACCTATTCACTCTTGCCTAATAGTACTAGGTAAGTATTATTTGCGACGTATTGGCGTGTGTGCGTGCGTGCGTGCGTGCGGGCGTGCGTGCGTGCGTGCGTGCGTGCGCGCGCGCGCGCGTGTGTGTGTGTGTTTGTGTGTGTGTGTGTGTGTTTGTGTGTGTGTGTGTGTGTGTGTGTGTGTGTGTGTGTGTGTGTGTGTGTGTGTGTGTGTGTGTGTGTGTGTGTGTGTGTGTGTGTGTGTGTGTGTGTGTGTGTGTGTGTGTGTGTGTGTGTGTGTGTGTGTGTGTGTGAGGTTGCCACTCGAGGACCTTTCTTCCTATTTTTTATCTGTTTTCCAAGTTATATAACCAGCCCATTGCCATTTCACTGTAATATTCCGTTGGGCTATGTCAGTTACTCTGGTTCTAATGCAAATATCTTCATTTCTAACTTTATCACGTAGAGAAACCCCTCTCCAAATTAAAATTTTTACATTTTTTAGATGATAGTTTGTCTAACATAAAAAAACCATAAACCCAAGAATGTCTTTATATAGTTATTTATACTTAGGTAAGCACCATTCTTTTATTTATTTAAATTGTTTGATTTAATTTGATAACAGTGTACCTAAATGTAAGTATCTGTATCTTTATTTCCCTCCCCAATAATATTTTATAAAGTCATACTCATAAAAACAGCGTTTTATTGTAATACATAATTATAAAATTCAGTATCAACTAATTAATAAAAATATGCAACAATATAATTACATAGGTATTAAAAACTATCGAAATCTAAGTAACGAGACCATGTTCGTCGTTCCACATCTAAATTATATAAAAATGCATTTTTCAATTTGACTAATAATTAATCAACGTCGCTGCGAAAATTTCTTCTTCTTTGGGCACTTTAAAAATTCATTTATTTAGAAAATAATATTTACAGTTACCAGTGTACAGATATTAACTAAATTAAGTATTTCTGGCCATAAAAATATTTATAATTGAGTATAAACTTTTAAAAAAACTAATATATATTTGAACGAAGTTGCTCCAACACCGACGTGCGGTCCACCCTCGACGATGTTCGAAAACGGACTGTGACAGAGCTTACATGGCGACGGAGCATGCGCGCTCGCGTAAATATATTCAATTTCAGGGAAAAATGATATATTCTCTTATAAAACGGGGAATAAAAATAAAACTCTCAATTAAAAAAATTAATATTTTTAAGATCTTTTTTTTAGTGTA